TCGACATAACGTGGCCAAAGCCACGCTGATTACACGTGAGAGACAAGAGATGCGTACTTTATACAACATGTAGGATGTCCCTGCGATGCATATTTCAATTTATGTGTAATAGCGTCATTGAAACATATGATAGAGTTTGCAAAAGTTATTTGAAAGTTGTAGTTGTAATCATTTTGGGCGTGAAATGCAACGCTTCCGCGATATTTGATTATACAGAGTGTTTCGCGATATTCATGTTTCTACAAATCCTCGAAGTTTTATCTATAAACTTTTGGGGGAATTCAAAATTCTTGTTAACAAAACTTTAATTGGATGTCATCTTCTTTCGCTATTTTCTAATTTTTAATATAAAATAATAAGCTTAATGATTAAGCTTATATTTTAAAATTTGATTAAAAAGATTTTCATTCGAAGATAAATTTAGAATATATCTGCAGCTTTACATTTACATCCTTGAAGCTTGCTTCGCAAGAAAAGTGACGGGTATTATTTATTATCATTTGTAATTGAAAGATTAATAGGTTGGAAGGAAAATAATGTCGTATTCTCAATAGAGGACTTTAGTGTGTTTTATTAGAAGCAAATGAATAAATAAATAAATAAATAAAAATAAAAAATAACAACAAAGTTACTTTCCTTCCAACCCAATATCTGTATCTCGTAAAGCACTTCTTTTAAGCTAGAACTGACTCTAAATTACATAAGAATTCACAAATTCAAAATTTGTCGGGAACACCTTATGTTTGTGTGTATATGTATAAAAGAAATTTCTTTTATAAAAGATATCACACTATGACATTTTTATCATTGGCTTATGAATTTAAAAAAATTATTACAAGCCTTTTCGGATAATATATATTGAAAGATACGGCTTTATGACGATTTTTTCTCTCGATAAGAGACGTACATTTCTGCACATACATGTCTTTTGATTTATGGTCTATAACTTCAGCATTCTTGCGCAGTTAGTTACTGGACTCGTGAGCGGAGACGCTCTCGTGCGAACGTATCAAGGATGAAAAATATCGTACGCGCGTTGCAATCAATGTCAAATGCGTTCATTCGTTTGTGTAAGTCTTGCGTAAAGGTCAGATTGTGTGCGTTATTAAACGAAGGTGCGCACGCACCGATAATTAGAGACCTTTATACACCTCCTTTATTGTGCCGGCATCGTTTTCAAGTTCCTGTCAAGATACTTCCATCTGTAAAGCTTGACATTTATTCGCGCGATCAACGTTTGACATTTTACTGAAACCTTTCTTATTATATCTTATCAGAATCCTACGTTAACAGTTCATTTTGTTCTAATTTTTTTTCACTCATTTTTTCAGGATTGCATTGGCGATACCAGTTGACAAGGATGGTTATTCCAAGTGCACCATGTACGATGTGAATTATACAGAGATAATCTTAAACGGGATCAGAGACGCAGATCCGAGCTGGCCGACGAGAGGTTGTTCGCACGGTTGGGAGTTCGATTTTAGCGACATACCCTACGAGACCGTGGCGACTGAGGTAAGGATGAAAAGGATAACGGATCATGAAAAACGGAGATTGATAACTCGGGAAGGAGCCGATAAGGAGCGACGTTTCTCTTCCCCGATCTTTTCATTAAGCGCATTCGCGACATTATTGGAACATATTTCGAGGTAAAGCAAATTGTAGGCAGGTAACGAGCGACAATAAATTATAGTAAATCCGACCAGGATGTATAATAATAAATAAGCATCTGCGATAGCCGAAAGAATGTTATATAATTATATAGAGTCTACACATTCGAAAGTTCTCAGAATTTAGTAGTAGATTAAACTGATTAATGTGGAATCGATTCTTCCTTAGCAAAAATATCGAGGGAAATTATCATTCTTTGCAATTTTTTCTATTATATATTTTTGTAACTAACAGTAAGCCTCAAAATATAAAATTCTATTAAAATAAATTCTATCTGAGATTAACTGAAGAATATAGATTTGTTAATCTTTCAACTCCACAAAATATTGTTTGCAAAAAGCGTTTCTTTTCGCTAAAAAAAATTTATCTTCAAATTGATCAAAAAAATTGGTTGTTAAAAAGACATCCGATGATTTAGCGACACTCTGTATACTATCATGTTATATTATAATACGTTGCTATTACACAAAACTTGTGAATGCGCTGCAAAACAAATTAAATCCATAAAAAGATCTTGAGAAGAAATTTTAAAGAATATATAAAGAGATTCTAAGAGATACATTCTAAGAAATTCTAATATAATGAAGCAATCCTTTCACATTTATCAAATCCGTTTAATCATTTAAAATCGTCAAATAGATTCTAAAAGGACTGTTCACTCCTGCTTTTTTTATAGAAAATTAGATTACAGTCTAATTCTAACAATAAGCTCTCGAAAATTTGCAAAAGCTGTAACGAGAGACATATATATAGACAGTACTCTCAGTTCTCGAGAAATGAATTATTCGATCTTGCAGCTAGGATGGGTGTGCGAACACAGCGCGCTGCCTACAGCCGCCCAGAGCGTCTTCTTCGTCGGCGCGATCTTTGGTGGCCTTTTATTCGGATGGATCGCTGATAGATATGGTAGAATACCGGCGCTGGTCGGTGCCAACGTCACCGGATTTCTAGCAGGAGTCGCGACCGTGCTGGCCGACAGTTTCTGGAAATTCGCGCTGTGCCGGTTTTTCGTCGGCTTCGCCTTCGATAGATTTATTTATTCTGATTGATTAATGCAATGCTTCGAAGCATTTCTAGCGTCTTCCCGACCGCAGCCAGATTTTCTATTTTAAAAATATATCGCTTTTGACATTTTATTTCTTTTCTTACAGTGTCGCGGGACAATTTTAACTTTCAATCTTGTTTTATTTATCAAAAGGCATTGAATGAGTACACTTTCATCGAAACTTATAATGAAGCCCTTATCATAAATTATTTATCCTGCGCTCTTCTTCGTCGGCGCGATCTTTGGTGGCCTTTTATTCGGATGGATCGCTGATAGATATGGTAGAATACCGGCGCTGGTCGGTGCCAACGTCACCGGATTTCTAGCAGGAGTCGCGACCGTGCTGGCCGACAGTTTCTGGAAATTCGCGCTGTGCCGGTTTTTCGTCGGCTTCGCCTTCGATAATTGCTTCACCATGATGTACATATTAGGTATATATATATATATATGATGCATATATATTGACGCGTGGCCAAGTTCTTCGTGGACTCGAATTTTTTAGAAGGAATCGTTAAAAAAGATTTCTCGTAATCTTTCTCGTAAAGTCACTTTTTGTCTACTTCGATTTGCATGTAATTTGCCTTTAATTACAAAGGCTTCTTTTATTAGCAATAAATAATTCCTTCTGTATGCAATTTATTGTCTCGAAGACACACAAGTTTGTCGTGAAATCTGATGTGTCTCACGGCAATACGTATGCGTTTAAAAGGATAATGAATTAATTAATGAAAATCGCGATGACAACGCTTCGCGTCATTAATTATGACTTTAGAATTACGGCAATGATAATGACCTCGTCAAGAACGATTGACTAATATTAATTCGAGCTATGTACGCGAAGACTCGATTTCTCTTATTTTTACGTTTGCGTTTTATTTGGATATGTATATTAATTAGAGAAGATAGACGTAAAGAAGTGACAAAAGGTAAATTATGATTTGTTCGCAATATTTTATATACATGATCGCTATCGATACAATAGCGCGAATATGATCGCCGCTTCGATTATTAATCGATCGCACTACTTGAAACCTATAATCTTAAATATAACTATGATACTCGATTATCATCGAACAGAGTTCTGGTTCAAAATCGATTAAATCGATTTTAGAACCATATTTCTCTCTGTTCTATCGCAACACACACACACACACACACACATATATATATATATATATATATATATGTGAAAATATAAATATATTGTTTAAAAAAACTGCTACTTTTTTTCTTGCAGATACAACTATTTTGAGAGAAACCTCACACCGTTCATGAGCCAGTTAAAAGCAGAAGGCACTCATGCGGACTATATGATGAACATTTTTGTCACCAAAACTTTTCCTAATCATCATACGATGGCAACAGGATTATATGCGGAAACACATGGGGTTGTAGATAACTATCGCACTTATTATTAAATCAACAAAAAAAAAAAAAAAAAAAAAAAATGCGATGGAAACTCTGCGCGTTCCTATTTGAGACGAATATTTCCCATATTCCGATTTTAAACGTAAGAACAATGCCGTGATAGAGAGACATATTTTCCTCACGTATTCACCAAACCGTTACATCAACCTTAACCCCATCAGAAGTCCGTAATTGATAAACGCGATAATTGTCGTTATTTTAACACAATCATAATTAAATTGATTAAATTGTGATGCAGTCTCTCACGTTATGATAAAAGAATTGAAATTCATACTTTGATTCGCACACTGCAGGCCTGTATACATATATTGCATCTCTAAAGAAAGATATAAGATTTTCACTTGACCTTGGCGATAAATCGGCGATCAGGTGCGGGCGCGATTGTTGATTCTAATCTTAAATTTTCGATTATCGCGAGTCGCGGCCAATTCCAATTGCCTGATTCAGCTTTCAGGTCAAGCTCGTCCAGGGTTTGACTCACGGTGGTCACGGTTATCGCGCTCGCGCCTTCTGTCAGTTCCGTTTCGCCGATTTCGCAGTCGAAAGGTAGAAGCATTGTCAATATCAGAGGTAGTTATTAAATTAAAGTGCCCGCAGCACGTGAAAGGATCGTTTGATTGCTTACGTTCGCTGACATTACATCGAGTCTCAGGGTATCTTTCGGGCGATATTATCTTCGATAATCGTAATCACCGATCAAACAAGATATATTTTTAACTGTTATGTAATACTTGTGGAAAAAAAAAATAAAAAATCAGAAATATATACTCTCGCGCATATCATGTAAATTTATAAAATTATTCAGAAATGCAACCAGCGCATTTTAAAATTTCAAATTTGTTTATACTGTCTCGTAGCCTTGGTTGAATATGCCTAGATCGGTTCACCGATAATTTTACGCTTCACAGATGGACGATCTGCGAAGGTAGCGCATTAGAAAAATGACCAATCCTAGTTGATCTAATTACGATACTGTCAGCGATGTAATGCGCTATCTTTCTAATAAACAGGAAGCGATATCGCTGTTTTATTGTCGGTTATTATTATGACAAGGATGATAAAAGAGATATGTTAAGCTACCAACGTTTACGCCAGCTATTAGATATCCCGCGCTAATAACTAGATATTATTTAAATTATGAGGAAATTTCAGCGTGTTTTCCAATTTTTGTCCCGGATATTTTGCGCAAAGTCAGGGCGAAGGATGCTAATGACCGTGACGTTCATAGTTTGGTCAAGTATTTCAGGACTTTAAAGCGAAATCGATTGCTGAAAACGCGATTCACATGACATTATCAGTTGAAATATATAAATTATTATGTAAGAGATATCATATATATACATATATAAAATGATAATTATTATTATATGATTAATTTAACACGACAATTTAAATTTTGCGTGACGTTGTTATCGTTCTTGACTAAACTTTTAGACTTAAATCCATATTAATGCTTGGCAAATATCGATATTTAGAACTGTGTGTGTGTGTGTTTTTTTTTAGTGTTGGAATATGTAGGACCAAAATGGCGTACCTTTGTGGCGAACATGTCGATAGCTCTCTTCTTCACTTTCGCTGCCTGCATCTTACCGTGGATTGCGTATTTTCTGGCCAACTGGAGACTGACCTGCATCGCCATATCCGTCCCTCTAGTTCTGGCAGTAGCGGCACCTTGGTTGGTGCCAGAGAGCGCGAGGTGGCTTGTCAGCCAAGGTCAAGTGGAGAAAGCCATCGAGATCCTGGGTAAATTCGAACGCATGAACGGCACGAAAGTGCCCGACAACGTCTATCAGCAATTCCGTGTAAGAATCGCATGTTTCTCGTCACTTTTTCTCGCGTTCGGAGAAAGGTTGTTATATCGAATTTAGTGATAAAAAAATTCACAATGTGCGTCAATGTAACAGGAAACTTGCGCCAGAGTGTGCAAGGAACAGGAAGCGGACAAAACTTATTCTGTAGTGGATCTATTTAAGAGTCCTCGTTTGCGAAATATTACGATCCTTCTAATTCTCATCTGGTGAGTATTATCGATGGAAATATTTCTTCAATTTCTGAAACAAAATTTATATCAAAGTTAGATGTGTTATGCGATTATAAACGCTCTTTGCATGTCTAATAGAAAATTTGATATTTGTGAAGGAATGTATGTCGGATAAAATAATAGATACTCGGTAGAAAATAAGTCTGTATTTTATCTATATATTTTATAATGCAGGATGGCGATATCGCTGGTATTCGATGGTCATGTTAGAAACGTAAATAATCTCGGACTCGATGTCTTTATGACGTTTACCATCGCGGCATTTACCGAACTACCCGCGGACACATTCCTCACCCTTGTTCTGGATCGGTGGGGTAGGCGATGGTTGGCCTGCGGTACCATGGTAATTTCTGGAATTTTCAGCATTTGGGCGAGCGCGGTTTCAAACAGTGAGTGCAGGATACATTAACTCTTCTCTCTTTCTAATATATATATTATAGTTATATATTATTTAAATTATGTATTATATTATTTAATTAGAAACTCTCTTCTGGTTTTAAGAATTAATATATCAGGTCTACCGAAAAGTTCTGTCCGTTTTTGGAATAAAACAAAATACAAATTTTTATTACCGTCAATAAACTTTATTAAATAATGTAATTGCCATTATTATTAATGATTTCTTGCCAGCGTGAGGGCAATTTGTATATCCCATTTTCGAAAAATGTTTTATCTTTTGATACGAAAAATTGAACCAGTGCTTGTTTCATATCTTCTTCATTTTTGAATTTTTTGCCCCTCAAAAAATTTTGTAAAGACAAAAACAAGTGATAGTCGGAGGGTGCTAAGTCCGGGGAATATGGTGGATGCGACAGAATTTCCCAGCCTAGTTCTGCAATTTTTTGACGAGTCCCCAAAGCAGCATGTGGCCTAGCATTATCATGATGCAGTATGATGTTCCTCCTATTGAACATCGCCGGCCTCTTTTCATGGACTGCTGTATTTAAATTATCCAGTCGCTGACAATACTTCTCCGAATAATGGCAATTACATTATTTAATAAAGTTTATTGACGGTAATAAAAATTTGTATTTTGTTTTATTCCAAAAACGGACAGAACTTTCCGGTAGACCTAATAATTATAAAAATTATAAAATCATAATATTATTATAACTGTACTAAAGTACAGAATTAGATTTACATTCACGTGTCTTTTTCAGACTATTATATTACAATCACACACATACCATTTATACAGTCTCTTTTACTTGAACGTTTCAGATATTTATTCGGCCACCTTGGCGATCGTTGGTAGATTCTGGGTCAACATCTCGTATAACATCGGTCTTCAATACGCAGCTGAAGTATTGCCAACAGTTGTAAGGGCGCAAGGGGTTGCCTTGATCCATATAATGGGATACGTCGCTAGCATCCTCGCACCCTTTGTCGTTTACTTGGACATTGTCTCGCCCGTTCTGCCATTATTGGTTCTGGGTATCATGGGCATCCTGGGCGGTCTTCTAACGCTCCTGTTACCGGAGACGCTGGATAAAGATCTGCCACAGACCTTACAGGATGGCGAGGATTTCGGAAGAGATCAAAAGATGTGGGATATGCCGTTTCTCTCCAAGTAAGTGTCAAAATTAACTTTTTCATATTATTCGATTAAATACCCATGTGTGTAAAAAATATTATTTACATTATACTTCATAAAATATTTGTTCTCCAATCTCTCTTTTACATCGTCCATTTCAAACTTGACGCATTTTTCTATTCCTTCCTTTCAATTAAATGCAATATAATTTCAGTAATAGTAGCAGTAGAGAGTGATAGATTTTTCCTCCGAAAGAGATATCATATTTATATGTTTTTTTTAAGGAAAAAACCTGCAGACGTGGAAGTACCGCCGGTGGCAATCTTCCGGTCATTCGAGCGCAGCAGTCTACGAAGTTCGATGAGAGCGTCCACCCGCGGCGAAACCCTGAGGAGCAGCATGATACAAAGATCAGCGTAAACGCGGCCACGGAAGCGGAGAGCAAATGAATGTCCCAAGGGACGAGACTCTGATTTTGGAAATATTCCTTCTTTCCACCGTCGTTCCTTCCTTCGACATCATGTGATATATCGGAGCTATCAAAATCAAATTATATTTGATGCGCACACTCGCATACATCTGTAATAAACCTGCAATGGTATAGCTTTAAATCGGCAAAAAAATAGAGAGAGAGAGAGAGAGAGAGAGAGAATATATTGTGCGTGCTTTCTTCCAGCATATTCTTACTTAATGAGAAGAAAGGGAGGGGGGAATTATGCGATTAATAGTATATATTATTAGCAGGAGTAGAGAGAAGTAGAAATGTCAATTAGAACTTGATTAAATTAAGCTCTAATCGGCCGTTCTACATATATTGCTACTGTGATTTTATATCATAGGATATTTTCAATTTTCCTCACTATATTTTTAATCTTATATGTGTGACATTTCTGAAATTTAATTCAAATTTCGAGAAAATAGATAGGGATTATACGGGCAGCCATATAGGCAGTATTAATGTAATTTTACGATTTTTTATTGCAATATATATTTCTTTCACATAGTTGTATTTAGTAATAAGAAATTAAGATGCAGCTAAGTTTAAAAACACGTGAATCACACACCAAAATATATCTTTTGAAGAGAAAAGATATATTTTCAGATGCGTCATTCCGATCTCGAGGAATGTAATCGCATTGAAAAGTAGATGAGAGACAGATGAAAGGCAACTACTTGAGATAATGTAAAATTTCTTCTATGCATTTTACATTCATCACGTTACCGCATGTGCATCTCGTCGCCACTGCTCACATACAATATGATATTGTAATGCAAATTAAATTTTTGAACTATTTCGAGTGATGCGATGTGAATACGATTGAAAATTTCGCATCCCGAATGACAAATTTTCGAGCAACAACTTTGTTATAATAAGATACAGTGTCAACGTTTCAGCCTGTAATCAGAAACGTGTTCGCTTGAAAATATTTTTAAAAATTCAGAGAAAACTCGATTTATGTACAGATAATATTTCATAATGTAAATAAGCTAAGAGATAATTAAAAATTAATTTGTATCTCGTTAATCTGTGTTAATAAACGTCAACTAACTTCGGTCTAATTAATTAAGATAATTACCGGTATGATAGTTTTTGAATAAAAACATATTGACAAAGGCTCTTTGATGAAGGTGCGAATATCAATAAATGGTAAGCTATCGACAGCTTTTCAATTATATGATTGCAGATGGGAAAATTACAGTGCATGATTTACTGTTGCATGTTTCTCAAATTGATATTCGTCGCTATTGAGATCGTTTGAGCGTTTTTATGAGATCAATAAATAGTTTATTGCCGCATATAAATCATTTAATTATTTTATCATTGAACAATGAGTATCATTGAATAGTGATCGATCGATGGTTCATTAAAACGGGATTTTTTGTACCAGTTCAACAAGATCGCGCTACTTTGTCGTCAGTGATTTATTACCATCCGACGTCCGAAAAGACTTATTAGAAAGATAGAAAACCGAAGAAACGCACGATCCTTTCACGCCTATCTAAATTTTGCAACATTGAATTGAACTTTGAGATAATCATTATTATCATATATATATATTTGCAATAACATGTCTGGGTAATAGTCATATCATCGGCGTCATTCGAGGCGGCTTATCATCTGCAAGGATCATGCAGACATCATGTGGATATCATGCTCTTCGCTACCTGAACTACGAGTAAAAGAAATTGTTCGATTCGTGAAAAGGCAAATATATTACGATCATCAAAATGTTTTGATCGAAATTGCTTTAAAAGATATTTGTTTTCCTTTTTTACATGCACGATATTGATACCGATTAAACTTCATTAACATCGCATTGTGACGATAAAATTGGAAAGCTAATAATATATTGACCTTTTTCACGCGCATAATAATTTTCTCATTCATTATACGATAATTCTTTATGCATTTCCCTGGACTATTAATAGCAAGGAGGTATATTTCGAATTACAAACGCTTTATATCATTATTTATATTTTTTTGCAATTAGCAAAAAGATGTTCCCGTGAAATTTTATAGCCATTTTAAAAATTGGAGCAGCCGCCAAAATTATCTGTCTATTTCTGACTTGGCGGCTTGGCATTGAAGCTGCGAGGTAGTTCGGATAGTGTGTCAAATAATCGCGTGTCATGGATTCACATAAGAGTAAGATGATAGAGAACGACAACCGGTTTACGCGAATAATGATTTCGAGACAGTTTCTACTCGTAAGACTTTAACGAGCATCTTCTTTCGAGAACGGTCAGACTTCCGAAAATGTAAATCTATCGTTGACAGTCAATTTGAAAATTTCGATCGCGAAAATCCTCCTGAAGTGTTATATTCAGAGAATTTTTCTATATAAGCTCGCGTGTATATCGCAAAGGTCAATCGTGAACGTTGTATCGATCTTTTCTCAAGTGCGCGATAGCAAATTTGCACACAATTTCGCGAGAACGAGAAATTTCTGCGCTTGCAAGTGAGTTTAGCGTCTACGGACGAATCTTTCATGCTGCACGGTTAACGGAAGAAGTAAGTTGTATGATGTACAAATTGCGACTCAACGAAAAGGCGTCTTTTTGCAACAAAATAAATTTTCATTTTTTAAACGCCTCGGGATTCGACAGACTCTGATTTTCTTCAGCGAGAATAAAATTCAACTAAGGTAACGTGTGACTTGTTTGTGCTTACAATTAGATGTTGATAATGTTAATTAAACTATGCTAATGATTGTCGCAGAAATATGAATTGTGGCTTATTAAATACTAGAAATGATGATAACCAAATGATGAGTAAACCAAATTAAATTTATAAAACGAATGCTGGATTCTTTGTTTTTATTAATTTAATGTACTTTAAACGTAATACAACAAAATTATTATTTAAATTATTCATACAAATTTATCATTTTAAAGCCAGCTTAAAAACCTTTTAAAATCCTTTTGAAAACTTTTTAAAAAATTTCGAGATTTTTAATATTTATCTTGTACAATTAAATAAATAAGTTCTAATCATGCAGATCTCATGTGGACATCATGCGCTTCGGGCATGATCTTTCGGAATTATGAGAAAAATGTTTTGCATTTAAAAATAACATAACAACGAACCGTTGTATCCTTTCTGAATTTTGAACATCACGAGAAATTTTTTGCATTCCAGGATAAACTGCCAATAAACTAATGCAATTTGAGAAACGTATGAATCTTTTTCGCGTGTGCCTTTCCACATTTCCCTCAGCAGTCGTTCTTCTTTTACCTTTAACTGCTCTTATCTTTTGTGCTCTCGCCAATATTCTCGCTGCGTGTTCATAATATATGAGCTACGTCACGATAATACAATATATCGCATTTCATGCCGAGCTCGTATATCAATCGAGTTTCCCCTTCATACAGCGACTTGTGTTTCGCAACAGAATCTCATTCAACCGTCGTCGTCGTCGTGATCGTCGTCAATCGATTTCGCCGCAAATGTCCTACCGGACTTTGAGATTGAATCGTTAAATTGGTGGAGTAACATCGTAATACTTGCCTGCGATCGCCACGTTTTCAGCATTTATAATTAATTTACGGTGTACGTTCGTTTACACTTGGTGAGATTTTTTTTTGTTTTTTTCGACTGTATCTTGCATTGCAACGTGATCTTTCTGGTCTAACGCAAAATTTAAATTTGAAAGTGGTGACATGACATAACACGATGATGTAAATAAAAAATTAAATATATGAAAAGTCCATAATTATAGTGAAAAGTGTTGTAAATAGAAAATTTTAGAGCGCAGTGTTTTGTTGAATTAGAGAGAAAGAGATCTATTTATTTGTCATACTATATCTATTCATTTGAACGGTTGTTTTATACAGAAAGACGATCTGCTTTAGCTGTTATATAAGTCTCGCTTGACTAATTATCTAAAAATCGCTTATTTTACTTATCTTTATAGAGCTGCTATTTCCTACGCTTGTGAGCTCACCGAGGATCGCCTAAGAGAGAGAGAGATTCCTTGCTAGCGCACATAATATATATAAACTCGCATGGTAGCCGTATTTACATGTTTGAGACCGCGTTCTCATTTTCGCGACAGGTGTGTTCCATAATTGGTGTAAGAATTACTTTCCAACAAAAAGTAATAGGATAAAAACGTGAGTATTAATGGTTTTTATCTAAAAAAAAATAGAAACAATTAATTCTTGAATGCATGACGTGCTAAGAAATATTTGCAGAAGCTCAAGTAGCAGAAAAATAAATTTAGTTTCAAGATATCTCTAAAACCTTTTTAAAAAAAAAAAAGAGAACTTATTAGATAAGGGAAATGGAAAATGGAAAAAATTTGATTAAAGATGCTATAGATTGATAATAAATACTACCCAAAGTGAAAAATAGTCTTGAAAATTTTTTTTATATTTACGCAGTCAAGTGTTCAAAAAAATAAAATTTAGGTAAAAAATTAAGAGATATAATTCATCGATCAATGACCAGCTTCGTGAAAGTTCGTTAAAATGTATTAAATATATAGAACTGTCATATGTGCTAATCATATGTCAGATACCAAAAGTAAAATTTGGTTTATAGAAGAAAGTATTTATCTCAATAAAAAATAAGATTAAATATTGAACAGTAATCTACACGTATACATAGATTCCATGATAACAATTATTGTAAAAGTTATTGTAAAAATAGCATTTACGAAAAATCGATGCCAATTAACCTTAATGGAAAATAGTCAACTAGATATTAGTAATGTGAGTATAAGCTATTTATGAATATCGTGCTAAATTATTTTCAAATTGTTTTCAAATATAATAAGCGTTTAAACACGGCGCGTGAGAATTTATACGTATAAAATTGAAAATTAAAATTTAAACTAAATCTCGTATAAATGTTTCACATGGATTTACCGTGAATTAAAAGCATTCGCATAACAATTTTGCATAAATTACACATTATTGATTCTTTATAAAAATATCTTCATCGAATTATCAAATACGTCTGGCCATTTTACGGTTTGTAGCGCTGATATTTACGAGCTCCGACATTGACCTTAGCAACTATCACTTTTTATCTTATATCTCGTAAACGCTCCTAAACATCAATTTTTTGTATGTCCGAACATTCGTCGCGAATACGCAATCAGTAATTATCGCGAACATAATATTTTCGACTCTTGAGAATAAAAAGTATTATATTAAAATTCGTCCATAAACGGAAATGTATTCAAATGTTATTTTCTTGAAAATGCAAAGTATTCAATTAAATTCTTCTAATATTATTTTGATCTAATAATATAATTTATTTATAATTTGCGAGCACTACATTCTTGCCCTTAAATTTTGAATTCTTTCTTTAAAAATCTCTTTCTATATAATATCTAATATAGCTCTCTCCTTCTTTCTCTCTCTATATATATATATATTTGTATAACTATTATTTATTATATAATATCTATTATATAAATATCTATATTTTTGTATATATTATCTAATATTATCTGTATGTGTACTTTATCATATATTATGTGTGTATATAAACGCGATTCTATTGGATATTACATGTATGCATAAACGCGACACTGTCCAGTATCGCTAATTGTACGCCGAGTCATCAAACTCATGCTTGATCTTTATAATTGTCTCAATTAAAATGCTTGCGTGCGCGCGTATTACGAGCCATTTGCACCCGTCACGTTCGGACAACACTGACTGCTTAGATTGCCCTACTCAAGTTATTGTTTGATATGCCCAAGAGAAACCGCTCAAATTACACGGACTTTGGACCGCATCTTATTGTTAGTTGCGCGTTCTGAAAATTTCTTCATTCTATCAAAAGTTTGCTGGAGAGAATTGCGTAATTTATTACTTGTAAGATTATGATATGAAGTTAAATTGCAACAGCAAGAGTAATTTTGTCATATAGCGAATAAATATTGTAATTTTATTCAGTATAAAAAAAAATGAATAATTTGTTAACTTCAATTTTGTTAATTATAATTCAGAAAGAAAGAAAAAAACTAAAGCCAGTCATGAAAAATTAAAAAAAAAACTTTGTTTTATCTAAGTACATTTCGATCTTCACATTCAGATTCTCTTCAACCTGAGGGGCATTAAACATATATAATTATTAATGGTGTATTATTACATTATATAAATTATTAACAAACTACTCAAAGTTTTCTCTTTTTATCTCGAAGCAAACATTGATAGAAATATCTTTGATTTTTATATTGTAATTAACAATGTATCGAAATATAATATTTCTGGATGAAATAAAGTTCTTTTTATATTCTGTATAATTTTTTCTTACTGCACTACTTCAATTTTTTTCTAATTTCTAGATATTTTTTTAAATACTAATTATCAAACTTTTTGCCATAATTTTAAATCAATTAATCTGCACTTTAAATAATTTCCTAAAAACTTTTTTTATCTTGATACAAAGCTATACCTCTAGCTGATATGAAACAAAATTTGTATTTTTTCTTTTTACTTGCCAAGAATAAAACTATCAAGTATCGGCATCCCATAGAATGATGAAAGACTCAAACGGCATGAAAAACACCATAGACGGTATACACGTAGATCCGAACGAGACCACCACGTTAAGACCGAAGTTGGAAACCTTCGACGATATCTTGCCGTATGTCGGTGACTTCGGCAGATATCAGTGGCTGCTTTTAGTGGCTTTGCTTCCCTACAGCGTGGCATATGCTACCCTATACTTCTCGCAGTTCTTCCTCACTTTGCTACCTCGCGAACACTGGTGCAAGATAGAGGAACTAGTCTCCTCAAACTTTACGCAGGAAGAAAGGTAAAGTTTTACGTCAATACGATTCGTTAAGATACGAAACGATTTTATCAGCCCGATAATTTTCAAACAGAATTACACATACACGTATATATATATATATATATATATATCCACTCAGTAAATTATAAATTTTATCTTTCTCGTGTTTAATATAAAAAATCATGGTAAAAATTTTCTGAAAATTGTATAATATAATTTTAATTACGCACATACCTATGTGTAATTAAATTTGCAAGAGAGACAAAGTTTATAATTTATATTGAGATAACTTTGAGCGCAAAGTTATATAATGTTGTAAAAGTTATTTAACTGCGTTATTTGTCATGTATCATCCTTTTACACTGTAAATATTTTCAGAGTGAAAATCGGCATACCAAAGTCTCAGGATTATCCGTATTACGATCGATGTCATCGACGGGACCTGGACTTTTTCTCCATTCTAAATCACAAGGATATTCGCTCGATCGAATGGAAAACGAACAAAACTGTGAACTGCAATCAATGGGAATACAATTTCACGCAGATTCCGTACGCCAGCATAGCGGCTGAGGTGAAGTATCCTTGAATGCATGTATATGAGATATATGTAAGATACAAAGATAAGCAAAATTCTCACTTGAATGCTACTGTCAGCGATCGTGCGATTAACAATCTGTCTTCTCGATCATTTCGATCATAATCCGTTAGAGATAAAATAGCAACCATCGCTAAGCGTTTCTTGCGTGCTGATTCCTGGACTCTTTATGATTAGCTAGATTGGGTATGTGACCAGGAATATCTCATCTCGATGGCACAGTCGATCTTCTTCTGCGGCTCCATCATCGGCGGTTTCTTCTTCGGATGGATCGCCGATCACAAAGGGCGGATACCCGCCCTGATGCTATGCAACGGCGTTGCCCTCTTGGCGTCGATCGCGACCGCGAGCGCGAACACCTTCTGGTCCTTCGCCGTCTGCAGATTTCTCACTGGTTTGGCTTTCGATAATTGCATCAACATCCCGCTGATTATCGGTGAGTTCCCGATAAACGATAACGAGCGCTTATCACAATCATGACCGCCACGAACGAAAGAGTTTATTCTAACGTGTTTATTAAAATTATGCGCGTGAGAAATATCCTTCATCATCGTTTTTCTCTAATGTTATATAAATCCCGAGTACGGATTTCTCTCTTTCTCTTTCTCTCTCTCTCTCTCTCTCTCTACGGCGTGTACACATGTCCAATAATTTTTTAATGAATGATATTATCCGATAGTTTTTTTAATGAATGGTATTACATAGACTACGGAAGTACGGGAATACCCGGAAGAGAGTACAACGGATTGAAAAATTATTACACATAGCAAAACATGCAACTTGTGAATATTTATGCACAAATATTACGATCTGCCATATCATTTCATTAATAATGATTTACGTAAACTACGTTACGTAACTCGTATATTGTCTATATCACAGATTGTTAATTAAGATATATCACACTAAATATTTAAATAATGTTTAATGCCCCGGTTATATAACGTGTGAATTAAATTCTGAATCTCTCTAAATCCTGAATCAGTGGTCGAGTACATGGCCGTGAACAGACGAACTCTGGTCGTCAACGTCGCCTTCGGTTTATATTTCGGTATCGGAAGCACAGTTCTGCCATGGATCGCATATTACGTTGCAAACTGGAGATTCTTCGCTTATGTCAGCGCGTTGCCCATGATGAGCGTCTTTATCACACCTTGGATTCTTCCTGAAAGTGCTCGGTATGATATTTTACATCAATCTTTGATCCAAATTATTTTCTTCTTTTGTAATGATGTTGAAAGATGCTACGATAATCTTTTATGCATTCTTAGTTTTGGAGCGTTATAAAAAGAATTTCATATTCTTCGCAATTAAATGTGTAATTATAAAATTTTAACGTCAAATTCTGAAATAAATAGTCAGTATGGCGATTCCTAGATATCATATCGCTCCCAGAAATTTATATACGTAGTCGTAAGTTCGCTTCACTGTTATCTACGTTCTGCGGTACGTCCGAACTTTCCGCTGAATAGAGCACTGTTTCACGATTAAGATGGTTCGTCGCCAACGGCAGAATAGACAAAGTAGTGCAGAAGTTGAAGCGGATAGCAAAGGTCAACAAGAAGAGTCCCGATACGCGCATCTATGAAATTTTCATCGTAAGTAGGACCGCTTGAGATGCAAAGCTCATTCGCTCGTGAGACATAAATCGCTCCTTCATCCTATCGTCCGTCTCTTACCGTCTTTACAGAGGAACTTGTCAGCATCCGACATGCAAACGGAAAGCGCAACTTTATTCGATCTGGTAAAGTCACCGCGTTTAGCGAAAAACTCTATCTTGCTAATTTTCTTCTGGTAAGTAAAAATAATGAATTTTTATTTCCCGTTGTTCTTTCCGCTTTCGGAACGTTTCATCCTCTTTCTTCTTATATAAGATGTCACGGAATAATTCTTGGAAATATCACATTTCTGTTCATATTTTTTTT